TCTTAATTGGAAAACCACTGGATAAATTAAGGATGTGCAGCTGATCCTTGAACAACATGGGTTTGAAATGTGAGGGTCCCCTTCTACTCACATTTTTTTTCAGTAAATACATACTGCAGTGTTATATGATCCAGGGTTGGTTAAATATGTGGATGTGCCACCGCGGATAAGGAGGGCTAACTGTAAAGTTATATGTGAATTGACTGCAGAGGGTCTGTGCCGCTAACTGCCACATTATTCAAAGGTCAACTGTATTACCTTTCTGGAGGGAACTGCATTTTTTATAGTTTTACTGAGATATAATTAACGTACCAATTAATTCATTTAATGTATAGAATTCAATGGTTTTCCAGTATATTCACAGAAACGAGTAACTATCATCACACTCAGTTTAAGAACATTACATCACCTCACAAAACCCCCCCACCCTTTAGATATCACTTTCTTACCACTCTGTCTCCCCTTCCCCTCCCCCCAGGACTAAGCAACCACTAATCTACTTTCTGTCTCTATAGAACTGCGTATTCTGGATTTGTCATATAAATGAGATAATATAATATATGGTCTTTTATGACTGGCTTCTTTTACTTAGCATAATGTTTTCAAGGTTCATCCATGTTGTAGCATGTATGAGTAGTTTATTTTTTGTGGCCAAATAATAACATTCTGTTGTATGGATACACCACTTTTGGTTTATCCATTTGTCAGCTGATGGATATTTGGGTTGTTTTCATTTCTCTTGGGTGTATATCTAAGAGTAGAATTTCTGAGTCATACGCTTAACCACATGAGGAATTTCCAGATTGTTTTCCAAAATAGATGTACCGTGCCCACCAGCAGTGTATGAAGGTTCTGATTTCTCCACATCTTTGCCAGCACTATAATTTCCTTAAAAAAAAAGAAAAAATTACAACCATCCCAATGGGTGTGAAGTGGCATCTTGTGGTTTTGATTTGCATTTGTTTAATGACTAATAATGTTGAGCATCCTTTTATATGTTTCTTGGATTTGAATATCTTCTTTCAAAGAATGTCTTTAAATCCTTTGCCTTTTAAAAATTTGGGTTATTTATCTTGTTTTCATTGAGTCATAAGCAATATTTATATATTCTCGATACAAGACCCTTATCAGACAAATGATTTGAAAGTATTTTCGTTTTCTTGATGGTGTCTTTCACAAAAGACAAAAGGTCTTTTTTTCACCATGCACAAAAGGTTTTGATTTTGATGAAGTCCATTTTATCTATTTGTTATTCTTTTGCAAAACTGTTTATGCTCTTCTGGGTCCATTGCAATTTCATATGAATTTTAGAATTAGCTTGTTAATTTCTGTAAAGAAACCAGGGTTCTGATAGGATTGCATTGAGTCTGCAGATCATTTTGAAGATACAGTTGGCCCTCTGTATCTGTGGGTTCTGCAACCACAGATTCAACCAATTGTGGATTTAGGATTGCCGTGTACACACTGCTATATTTAAAATGGATAACCAACAAAGACCCACTGTATAACACAGGGAACTGTGCTCAATATTATATAACAACCTAAATGGGAAAAGAATTTGAAAAAGAATAGATACATGTATATGGACAACAGAATCACTTTTCTGTACACCTGAAACCAACACAACATTGTTAATCAATTATACCCCAATATAAAAAAGTTTAAAAACAAAAAACAAACAAAAAAACACTTGAAAAAAAATTCCAGAAAGTTCCAAAAAGCAGAACTTGATTTTGCTGTGTGCTGGCAACTATTTACATAACATTTACATTGTATTAGGTATTATAAGTAATCTAGAGGTGATTTAACATATACGGGGGTGTGTGCATAGGTTACATGCAAATACTACACCATTTTATATAAGGGAATTGAGTATCTGAGGGTTTTGGTATCTGTAGGGGTTGGGGGTTTAACAATTAAATCTTCCAGTTCACGAACATGGAAAGTTTTTCCATTTATTTATGTTGTCTTTAATTTATTTTCAACAGTGTTTCTTGGTTTTCAGAGTATAAGTTTTGTACTTTGTTAAATTTATTCCTAAGTATTTTATTATTTTTGATGCTTTTGTAGATGGAATTGTTTTCTTAGGTTCATTTTTTGTTTGTTCATTGCTAGTGTATAGACATACAACTGATTTATATGTATTGATCTTGTATCCTGACACCTTGCTAAACTTGTTTATTCTGTAAGTTTTTAAGTGGATTTCTTAGGAGATTTTTTCAGGAAATGACATCCCCCAAAGCATAATTTGTAGGAGGCAGCTTATGCTATTCTTCTGTGAATTCATGAGAGATGCCAAGGGAAGGCCTGCTATGAAACCTGGTATGATTTCTACACTTCTGGATGCTCCAGCTGCATTTTCCCTCACACAATAATGTTTTTCTAAGAGTTTATGAAAATATTTTAAACATATAAAGTAGTTGAAAGAATAATTTAGTGAACACCATAGTCTTACCACCTAGCTCTACAGTTAACATTTTATATTTGCTTTATCACATATCTATCTATCCAACCATCCTATTTCTTAGATGTATTTCATAAATTAAAGATATCATTTCATTTCCCTGTAGAACTTCAGCATGAATATCCTTAACTAGAGCTTAATATTTGTTTACTTTTCTGAAGGTGGAATTTACATAGAGTGAAATGCATAAATCTTAAGAATACCATTTGGTGAGTTTTGACTAATGCACACATTGGTGTAATCCAGACCTCTCTTAAATTTGGGGATAGTGCCACCACAGAAAGTTCCCTTATTCCCCTTCCAAGACAGTCTTCCCTTCTCAACCCCAACTACCAGGTGACCACTCTTCTAATTTTTTTAAACCATAGCTTAGTTTCACCTATCTAGGACTTAATAAGTAGAAATAGTATGAACTCTTTTGTGTAAGGCTTCTTTGACTCAGCCTTTTGAGATTCATTCATGTTTTTGCATGAATTAGTAATTTGTTCCTTTTGATTCCATTATGTGACTGTATGTTTGTTTATGTTCCTGTTGATGGAGACCTGGGTTGTTTTCTTTTTTAAGTTATTATGTATAAAGCTGCTCTAGCATTGAACATAAGTCTTTCTGTGGATATGTGCTTACGTCTCACTTGAAGGAATACCTAGGAGGGGGGTTACTGGGTCATAGGTTTGGTGTATATTTAGTTATATAAGAAACTACCGGTACTTTTTCCAAAGTGGTTGTACTATTTTTCATTCTTGCCAAAAATGAGGGTTGTGTTTGTTCCGCATTCTCGCCAAAATTTGATATTGTCAATGTAAAAAGTTTTAGCCTCTCTGGTGCATGTGTGGGTGGTTCAATTTCCATTTCTCTGAAGAATGAATGACAGAGCACTTTTTCACATACTCGTTGACTCTTTGTATCTCGTCTTTTGTAAAGTGTCTGCTTCAGTCTCTTACATATTTTAAAAATTGGATTGTTTGCCTTTTTGTTAGGGAGTTGTAGAAATCTCTTAAATATCCTAAATACCAGTTCTTTATCAGATATATGTATTTTGAATATTTTCTGCCAGAGGTATGGCTTACCTATTCATTTTTATTAATAACATCTTTGTTGAGCAGAAGTTTTTAGTTTTGATGAATTCTAATATCAGTTTTTTGTTTTTTCTTTTATAGTTGTTGCTTTCTGAGTCCTGTCTATGAAATCTTTGCTTATCTTCAGGTCATGTATATATTCTTCTGTGTTTTCTTTTAGGACCTTCAAAGTATTAGCTTTCATATTTCAAATTATTTTATTATGTATATTGTGAAGACGTTATTGAGATTTATTTTTTCTCATAGATATATAGTTATTTGGTCTCACAGTACTTTTAATACTTTCTTTGAATCACCTCATTTCATAACCAGATCTTATAGATATTCGCTTTTTGTTTGTTTTTACCAACTCAGACTTTCATCTTTGCATTGTCTTCTGGTGTGTATTAAGCTGTCATTTGGAAGTTTAAAGAGGAAGAAAGGAAGAACTTGAATCTACAAGTGGTCACCTCTGCCTCAGTCTGTCTCTGTTGGAGTCTTCTGTATGCTGTAGGGTCAGAAGTTCTAAAGAACAGGATTAAGGATGTAGTTAGTTTACTGAAAAAGAAACTGAGTTTGCAACCAAAGGTTCATTCAGTTTAACCCTGAAAAATCAGTTGATAGAGAAACTTTCAGTATTCATATATTTTAATCTCTGTTAAAGCCTAAGAGGTTTTTTTTAGTCTGAGACTCTTCTTCCATCAAATAACTGTTGGACAACCAGAATCCAATATGATAATAACATTTAATATTCATGTAGCACTATGTAGTTTATAAAATACTCTCACAGATAAATTAAGTAAAGCAGTTATTATTCATCTCATTAAAAAAGAGAGATGAGTACATTGAAATGTTGACTGGCTAGGTCAGTTACTCTCGGTTATCAAGCTAGTACACAGTGAGCCTAGGGCTAGAATTGAGATCCTTCTGACTCAGTGAGTTCAGGGCCTCTACCTCGATATGCTGGTAGATTAGCATTCAGTCCTCTTGAGATGAAAAATGATTTCCTTGATCTCTGTCCACTTAAATCCATCTTTCTCCCTTACCACCCTCCTCCTCTTCTCTCTCATCCCATCTGTTGTGCGCAGTGCCCTGCATCAGGACACTGAAATGGTTACAGGATAGCAATACACTTAGTGCTGTATAAAATGTGCAGACAGCCTGTTTAGGGTCCTTTCAGAGTTGATGCTTTGAAATAACTTAGCAGATACATTAAATTAGCTTTCATTTTAATACAGTATGTTTCTTCTGAATATCATTTTCTTTTCTTTTTAGTTCTCATATCTTTTAAAAAATTAATAGATTTTATTTTTTGGAGAAGTTTTAGGTCTACAGAAAAATTGAGCAGAAAATCCAGAGTTACGTATACTGCCACCCTTACACACACACACACACACACACACACACACACATATTTTTCCCTCTTATTGTGAGAACCCCAAAGTGCTTTCTCTAAAAATACCTCTCTGTTTGTTTTTCAGTATGCCAGGAAGCTGTCTGGGAAGCCTTCAGGACTTTTTGGGATCGACTTCCTGGGCGTGAAGAATATCATTACTGGATGAATTTGTGTGAGGATGGAATCACAACTATATTTGAAATGGGCACACATTTTAGTCAGTCTGTGGAACATAGAAGCTTAATTATGAAGGTAAATGTAGTAACAAGGGAAGAAATTACTGGACTGTTGTAGGAGTGCGTATACATAGCTCAGGCCTAAAGGAAGAAAGAGCAAATGCCAAATCCCTGCATTACTCTTTTTTGTTGAATTAGGTTGTTCAAGTGACCTACCACAGGGTGGCTTAGTCTTTGTATCCCTAACTCTGGCCATTATAATAAGCATTGTTAACCCAGCAAGAGCCTCATGCTTTTTTATAAATGTAAATATTTGGAAATAATACTCAGCAAAGATTTAGGCTAAGAATATAAATCTGTGAGAGTCAAACATTCTTGCCAGGGTTTTTCATCTTATCAATTCAGAGTGGTGCAAACGACTCTAATTAAGATAGAGGATATAGGTCATTGGATAAATGTTTAGTAAAGTATAAATGTGATTCTAATTAATGAATTTGCTTACTTGTTTTCCTTGTTTTAGATTTAGTTTACTCTTAGCAAAGGATAAATAAGCATGCATATAGACAAATTATCTGCCCACCTTCCCCTTTCATATTGCATGCATGTATTCATGACAAGAGAATGAAACTGTTTAGATATACGTGGTAGATTGCTCATTCTGTGTGATAGGCCCTTTATAGCCTTCTTCCTTTGTTCAAGTCCTACATGTCCTCAGCTCAGATGTAGCCTCCTTTGTGAGGAATCAACCCCCAGCCTAGCAGATTTAGCTCCCATAATCCTTTGAACTCCATAATTCTTTATTCATTCTTTAATGTTGTACTTCTTACATTTTATTATTATTAGTTGTATATGTGGGCCAATGTATCAGAAGAATAGAATTGACAGGGGACCAGATTGGAGGGGTGGATAACTTAACAAGTTTATAGTTGATAGGAAACCATTGAAGGGTTGTAAGTAGGTAAGTCATGGGGGCTGATTGGACAGTTTTGAATTGTAAAATGGTTATTATGGTTTCTATACGCCATGCGATAGATTAGAGGGGACAAGATGAGCAGAGATCAGTCACGACTCCAGGGCCGAGGGGATGAGAGTCCTAACTAGACCATGAGATAGAGAAAGGGAGCATAGGGGATATAAGTAGGAAAAAGATTAGTAGGACTCTGTGATGGATTGGATGGGAGTGGGATAGGATGAAAGAATGGCCCAGGAAGCCTCCCAGCTTCTAGCTTGGATGACTACCACTGAGAACTCAGGCAGAGAAGCCGCTTGTAGATGCTGACAGGGAGAGTGAGCTTGCTTCTTAATGTGTTGTTTTGAGCCATTTGTGAAATGTGAATTGCTTGATATTTAGGTATGAAGCCAAGAAGAGTGGTCTGGGTTATAAATACAGCTCTAGGGTTCACCAGCCATTTGTGAAATGTGAATTGCTTGATATTTAGGTATGAAGCCAAGAAGAGTGGTCTGGGTTATAAATACAGCTCTAGGGTTCACCAGCCTTGAGGTAGTAATTGAAATCATAAGAGTGGCTGAGAACGTTACTTAAGCAATCACTGGCTGTCCAAAATCTGAAGGAAGCTTGATTTTACCTTTTTTTTCTTAAATTGAAATATAGTTGATTTACAGTTGTGTTGATTTCTGCTGTACAGCAAAGTGATTCAGTTTTACATATATATACATTCTGGGGTTTTTTTTAGCTTGATTTTAAATATAACAACAACTGTTTACACATAGGTGGTGAATTTGTGTGGTTGACACCTTTTATCAGAACTCAGAACGCCAGCATTTGTACAAATAACCACCATGCTGGCCTATAAGATTTTAAAGCTAATAGTATAACCTGATAAAATGATGATTTTGCTATATGTGTATATGTATCTTGAGAGAGATTAACTAAAGGAAATAAAATCACAGTTGAAGCTGCTGGATGGTTGAAATTAAAAAAGAAACAAAAAAGAGTGGCTGAGATTATTCTAGGAGAGTCTGTATAGTAAGAGCCATGAGTTATTTATAAATATTTTGGGAATTATTTAGAGTAATAGTCTCTCCATTTTACAGATACGGAAATTGAGGCCCAGCACCAGAGAGATTGCGGGATTTACCTCCATAGCTAAGAAAGAGAAAATGGAATTCTCCTGATTCTAAATTAGTGTCCTTATTATCGTATTGGTCTCAAAATAAAACCACTAATTTAGAGGAAACTTGGAGACAGTTTGCTTTGGAATGCCCCAGAGGAATAATCCAACTATTTATCAGACAATTTATCTTTTTGTCTGAATTCTGGAGAATCAGATTTCATAGTTATTTTATCCACATGATTATATTGGTCTGTGATGAGAGTTTCTATAAATGTATTAGATCACAAAACAGTTTGGTTATAAGTCCATGGAAGGTTAATGTAAAACTCTACCAATCTCTTACCTGTAGATCTTTTTGGAATGATTAGCAGGTGAAGTCTGTTAATCTGTGCCCATTAAGAGAGCACAGGGACTTTTGTGCACATACACAGAGACTTGAGTGTCAGGACATTCTTGGAGTCACAAAACAAACTTGGCATCATTAGTACCTTGCTTTAACTATTTCTCTAGCCATAGAGAATAATAACATAGATTCTGTGTTAGGGCATTAGTGTTCTAGATGCAATACATTTTCTTTACTGCTTATTAACTGTCATTAATTCACATGGTCATTTTTATATCTTTGTTTTCCTTAGAAACTGACATACACAAAGGAAACTGTAAGCAGGTGAGTGTCTTTTTTCCCTAAGTTCATGCTTGGCAACAGACATGTATCATACCTATTCCCAGACTCATCCCACATTTGATGATTCCTTCCTGTTTTCTTGCCAGTTCCTGCAATGACCAGGCCTGTGGGTTAGTCTCAAATGCTTTTCCTCATCTTGAGGCCACTTCCCTTCCCAGACCACCTCTGCAGCCACTGTGCTAGTTTACTGTCTGACCTTCCCAGGAGGCAGACTTGGTCCTCTCTCTTGGGTGAGAAAATAGATTTTTGGAAATGGAATACCAAATGATCTACTCTTGTTGAGGCTTACAGGCTAATGATAATATTGATCTAAAATGGTACACCTTAGTGGAGGATGGTTTACTAAATGATGGGTTGTGGTGTGGGTCACTTTATTGTGTAATGACGATTATGATGTTGAAGCATAGGAATAGCACAGCCTTGATGAATCCTCCAGTGGTATGAGTCTTGGCTCTGTGGGCCTTTAGGCTTAGGATTAAGGTCATTTCTGGCTCCTGAACAGTAGCAGGACAAAGCAGATCATGGAAGGTGAGGGATTTTGAGCCTACAGGGACTAAAGATTTCCAGTTCTATCCATACTCAAAATATCTAGATTATGCCGGCATGTAAGTGATTTTTTTTGAAAAACATCACTAGGGCATGCAATTCAGGTCAGAGTCCAGAATTTTGCCTCAAATTAGATGGAAGGACAGATTGGAAAACCAACTAGGTGAGTCAGCGTCCAGAGGTCTAGCCTGGGCAGCAGAGTCCAGGCAAAAGCATAGCTGGAGTACACCTGTGGGTGTGGAGTACACCTCCTTATAGTGGGGTATATGTAAGTTTCAAATCAAACATGAGTAAACAGGAGGAAAGTGGGACTCCTTGTGGTCTCACTTCATACAGCTAACAGTACCACTGAGTCTATGCTGGGGCCTGGGATTGAGCTCCTGCTTAGATGTGGGGCCATGTGGTGCTTTAAATGTGTGTTCTTCACCTCTGAGAGCCAGAGCTCGGAGGTTACTTGTGATTGCCATTGCAACACGCAATGCAGTAGACTAAATAATCTTGTGGGTCCTACCAGTGCCAGTAGTCTTCATGGTTGTATGTAATAAAAATGATAGCACATCTTACATATCTTATATGGTTAAGAAGTATATAAAAACCATAATAAATATGGCTCTTAACCTGGAAGAAGCCTTGGAGTTTACCTGTGAAAATGGACATTGGAAAGATTGTAGCTTGTGAGTTATTATAAAGTGGTGGAAGGAAGGTTATCTGAAATAGAATGGAAAGTTGTAACACCATATGTGGATTGGTGTCATAACACATAACACATGAGGTGAACTGGAAGGTAGCTGGAAGATGTTTGAGGGGTAGTTTGTGTATTCCTACGTAGCTCACTTCAACTGGGTGCAGTTTTCTGCATTCACCTACTATTTCTTGTAATAAAATTGTGTATGTGTAGAAGAGAAATTCTTATTATGCTTAGTTTTCCTGATATGTTAACCATGTTGAAACATTCATAAATAAACATCATAGAGAACTGACTGTGTCACATATTTTTATTGTTAAGGCACTGTATGTCCTAGATAAACGAAGGAGACTCAAAATACTATGCACCATCCTTAGAAAATAGGACATGAGTAAAAATAGCAATACAGATGAACAAAAATATAACTGAATTTTGAGAATTTAAAAGTTGGTATCCTTCCCATGAAACTAGAGCAGACCAGGTCGGGGTGTGATGAAAAGTTGTGGTACTTGCTGAAATGGTACTTGCTGAAATGAGGTGACCTGGAGTTAGGTAACACTGGAGTGAAACCATAGGAGTGGTGTAGGAATTCACTAAACCCCTCTTTCTTTAAGCTGAATATTATAGTCATCCCTTAAAACCCTTAATTTGCCCATCACTTTTCTATATTTAAATTTATTTTTATGATTTTCTTGAGATTACTCTCATTTTCTGTGTTGAGATTCTGGTACTAGTTTTCTATTTCTGCTGCAACAAATTACCACAAGCTTTGGTAGCTTAAAAAAACACAAATTTGGGCTTCCCTGGTGGCGCAGTGGTTGAGAGTCTGCCTGCCGATGCAGGGGACACGGGTTTGTGCCCCGGTCTGGGAAGATCCCACATGCCACGGAGCGGCTGGGCCCGTGAGCCATGGCTGCTGAGCCTGCGCATCCGGAGCCTGTGCTCCGCAACGGGAGAGGCCACAGCAGTGAGAGGCCCACGTACCTCAGAAAACAAAACATAACAAAACAAAAAAACCCCACAAATTTATCTTACAGTTCTGTAGTTCAAAAGTTTGACATGAGTCTCAAGGTGTTGGCAGGTCTGTGTTACCTTTCTGGAGGCTCTAGGGGAGAATCTGTTTTCTTGTGTTTTTTAGCTTCTAGAGGCTGCCGACACTCGTTGACTTATGACCCCCTTCCATCTTCAAAGTTAGCAGTGGCTGGTCGAGACTTTGTCACATTCTATCACTCTGACACTCTGCTGCCTCCTTCTTCCACATTCACATTGGGCTTACCTGGATAAACCAGGATACATCCTCTTCCTTAAGGCCAGCTGATTAGCAACCTTAATTCCCCTTTGCATGTAACCTCATGTAGTCACAGGTTCTGCAGATTAGGATGTGGACATCTTTGGGAGACCACTATTCTGCTTACCACAATACTTGTCTGTAATTTAAATTGCTTCTTCTACATGAACTCTAACCTATCTGCTAACATATGGCTTGTACCAAATAGTCTGCTGTGTACCAATTTAACCTTCCCCCTACTATCATCTGGCAAGTCTATTAAAAAAAAGCATTTTCCACCTTACTCAGGACCTCACATCCCATCTTACCCTTTAGATACCAACCTGTCATTGTTTTTTTCTCTCTCTCCTGAGTCTTCAACTTCTCCTGTTACTAACTGCTCATTAGCATTTAAACATGCTCAAGTGTTCCCAGGTTACCTGTCTTAAAAAAAGCCCTCCTCCAGCACTTGTCTCCAGCCAGACATCTTGAAAACATCTCCCCTTAGCTCCAGTCATAATTTATTCAAATACATTTTCCATCCCCTTTTCTCTTGCTTCTTCTGGAATCCCTATTATGCATAGATTGGCATGCTTTGTATTATCCCATAGGTCTGTTATATTGCTTTCATTTTTTTCATTTGTTTTTCTGTCTGCTGTTTTGATTGGGTAATTTCCATTATTCTATCTTCCAGATCACTTATTCTTTCTTCTGCATTACTCATTCTGCTGTTCATTGCCTTTAGCTCAGCTTTTGTCTCAGCAAATGAATTTTCTAATTTTTCTTGGTTCCTCCTTATAGTTTCTAGTTCCTTTTTACAGTAATCTGAATTTCTGTCGATAACCTTTCTTAATTCCTTCAGCATTTTCATTACCTCCTTTTTGAACTCAGTGTCTACTAGACTGAAGAGGTCTGTTTCATTGTTTGTTCCTTCAGGGGAATTCTCTTGGTCTTTTAACTGGGAGTGGTTCCTCTGCTTCTTCATTTTACTTATATTTCTCTCATTCTGTGAGTTTAGGAGAAACAATTATCTAGTGTAGTCTTGGAGGGCTATTTGTATGCGGGATCATCCCTGCATAGCTCATGTGGGTTTAATAGTTTTTTGGTGTGAGGGCTGTTTTTGGTTTGAATGATTGCTGTCTCTTTCCTCAGCATGTGCTGTCCTTTATCCCCTTGATAGAGGGTGTGCAGGTGCGTGGCCCTACGCACATGCTCTGAGGAAGGCGGGGGCAGTGGGTCCAAGCTGCCTCTCGAGTCCAAGATGGCAGCGGCAGCTCGCACCTGGAGCTCGTGTAGGCGGTGCCCTGCTGCAAAGGAAGAAGCTTCTATGGCGGTCCCGCCCCTCTCCTTGTGCGCTTCCCAACAATGGCACCTCGCCTCTGTGGTGCACCCCCTAGCAATGGCACCTTGCTTCTTTTCCTAATGCCTCTGCATATAATATTTTATTTGGTTTTCATCAGCACCGTTGTGAAGTAGGTAGGGCAGGAGGTGTTTCTATTTTAGAGATTAGTTCTTGAGGCCCAGAGCAACTGAGGTATTTTCCCAAGTTATACACAAAGTTGGTGATACATCTGGGACTAGAACCCAGGATTCCTAATTCCTTGCCTTATGTTCTTTTGTTGTCACATGCTCATTACAGTTAACAGATTCTAGAACAAAGCAAAGTATAGTAAATTGTAAAGGGGAGTAGTAATCTAGGTATGAAAGTATTGTTGGCTTGTTTTACTGTATTTTTAAACATATATTCCATGTGGCTATGATACCTTTTGACACAATTCCATCTGAATTCCTCTGACATGATTAGGTAGTCGTTGTGAGGAATAAATTATGAGCTGGATAAACTGAGAAAATGAGACAGTAGGGGGTTGTTTGCTGCTGGTATTAAGCTGAAGGTCTTAGCTGACCAACTTCAAATTTGTGGGTTGGCCTAGAAATGAAGCATTTCTGTCTCCAAACCCAATACTACTCTGTGTTCTAGTTCTGTTGTGAGTCACATTTTAGGGTATCCCTGCAGGAGGCACACCTAATGAGAAAATATGAAAGGATTCTTGTTACTGTCTTTTGAAGAAAGTGTGGGAGGATGAGGGATTAAGTGTTATAGACAAACGATTTGAGTTACTGAGAGTTGCCTACTTACCATCATTAAAATAATGTTATTTTGAATTTAGTAAGTGAAATCTAGTTCTACTGAAGTGAGCAGACTTCTCCATTCTGAGTGTTTACTTAGAGAATTAGCTTAAATTTGATTTTAATTTGGGGGACAATTTGACCAACCCCAGGTGAGGTCTGGTTTCTCTGCCATGCCATCCCAACTTCCTTTTCTAGTTACTGTAGTATTGTGCTTTGTTTTACTTTGACCTCTTTGCTCTTCATATTGATTGCTCTCCAGCTTTGACTGGGTTTCCCTTCCTCTTTCTTGGTCCTTACACATTTTGACTTTTAGGTCTTTTAGTTTATGTACACCACTATCACTAAGACCAAGTAAAACCATCTTGGTTGCTCTTCTAGGGAATATGGGTCACATAAAGTCCATGTGATGTGGAATTAATGTGGGTAAGAGTGAGGTTTCTGGAATCAAATGGGCCTGTTTTACATCACAGCTCCTTCATTGGCTAGCTGTGTGACCCTGAGCAAATTCTTAATCTCTTCTATCATTAGTTTCCTCATATGCATAAATGGGGATAATAGTGTCTTCCTTTTAAGATTGATGCCAGAATTAAGTGAGTTAACCAAGATAAAGCACTTAACACAATGCTTGACACGATAAATTTAGTTGTCGTCATTCTTGCTATTATTATCATTGAAAAGCGAACTGGATATGGTTAGGAATATTAGGTATGGCCTTGGGTCATCAAGTCTTTGTGTGACCCTGAGAAAATTGCTTTACCCATTTGCACCTTGATTTTTCATCTATAAAGTGAAGGTATTGGGAGGGATTCTGCCTTGTGGACAGTTGATAAATCCCATTCAAGCCTGATGATGTTAATGTCTCTTCCAAATGCATCTGAATCCTAGTTTTTTAAGCTCCGTCTCCTGCAACCCAAGAAGCCTCTTGGTGCTTTCTCATCATCCAGGTCTTCCTCTACTCATCATTCATCAGAATGACTTATCCAGATGTCCTATTCCTTTGGGTTCTTTTGGATGACAGCTCACTTAGTAAGCAGTTTCCTGCAAGTGGATGAAAAATAACCAATAGTGGTAGGTTTGGTGTACTGGTTTAATATGTTATTCTTTCTAGATAATATTTCTAAAACCAGAAGAATCCTTATGGTGAGATTTTTTTTAACCTATATTTCTCAAATTTTCTACCAAAGCCTGGGGCTTTAGGGAACATGGCCCTAGTTGACTCCCCCACTCCAATTCCAGTCATGAAATGTCTTTGAAACTATCATATTTTATCTTAATATTCATTTAAACTTTATATTCTACTCTATAGCCACACTTGTTTTAATATTAAGATGTTTTAAATTCCATATCAGTTTTTACTTAGCTCCCTGCCTATGCTTTTACTTTCGAGTAAAAAATTGCTGCTTCAAGATGTGTGCCATGTTTATCTGGTGGCTGTGAGCAGCCCTCCCCCTGCCCCACCATGATCTAGTTTAGAGCAGCAGGACAATTTAAAGGGGTGGTTCTGAAGTGAAGATGGGACTCACTGAGACATTAGCAAGTCTGAGAGGGAGACATTTTGACTGTGATTAACTCACCTTCGAAAGGTGACTTGTGGAAAGTTGAAGAGAGTTTTCAATTACTATAATTTAAATTGTATATTTTGGGGGTATATGCAAATTTGGACTTGCAGAAACCCACCTTCTTTTCTTTAGAGCAAGGGCTTTCTCAGATTATCCTCTGATCTCTTCTGATCTTTGCTTTCAGTTGCAGGGCAACATGGTAAAAGGATAGTCGGGGACCTGAAACCTGAGAGCAATGTGGCCTATAGCAAATCATTTCTCTAAGCTTGACTTGTTTTATATTAAAAAGTTTTATGACTCTGTGATCTCTCAAATGAGATGAGATTTGGGCTTATATGTTCGCCTTAGCAGCCAGTGCTTTCGTGTCTGTACTACTTGTTGAGTTTGTAATCATGTATTTGTTATCTGTTTTCTATTAGACGGTAACCTTCTTAGACCATAGGTGTTTTGTTCACAACTGTATGTCAAGTGCCTTCTACACTACACTGGTTGGCCAATAGTATTTATTTATTCCCAAAATATCTATTCAGTGCCTACTAAATGGTAGGTTCTTTTTTAGGGTGGAGATACAGCATGAATGTGGCAGGTAAGGTCCCTAATCTCATGGAGTTTAGATTCTTGAGGCAGTCTTATTCAATAGAAATTTCTGTGACGATGGACATGTTCTGGGCTGTCCAATAAAGTAGCCATTAGCCACATGTGACTGCTGAACACTTGATATGTGGCTAGTGTGGATAAAGTTCTGAATTTTAAACTTTAATTTTAAATTAATTTAAATTGCCACATATGTCCACTGGCTACCATATTAGACAATGCCATTCTAGAGGATTAGGGCGTGGACAGAGATCAAAAAGTAGATAAATAAATGAGCAGGATAATTTCCCATAGTGATAAGAACTGAGAAGAAACAAAACAGTGTTATGAAATACTAAGTAAGGGAGTACTTTATGTAGGGTGATTCTAGTTGAGTAGCGTCAAAAAATGTAAAATAAATCAATTGTAAAGACTACTTTTTTTTAAAATTTGCTACTTAGTACTTTGGTTTGGGAATCGTTGTTTGGAGATCTGGTGAATCCTTTTTGGAAAACAAACCCCAAAATAACCCCTCACATTTCTATTATTTAATAACTCCAAACAATTTTTTTCCTAGCCCTGAATTGTCATCTCCAGTTCCTGTTGGTGATACCTCAACATTGGGAGGTAGGCTTTTGTGCCTTTATTCACTTTTCTTCTAAAATTTATTATCTAATTGAAAGAAAGCAAATTTTTCAGCTCACATTTTAAAAATACCATGTGTTTCTCTCTATGTGTTGTTAAAGAGTCTCAAGAAAAATTAATTCTTTTGTCACTTATTTTATGACATTATGATGTGGGTACTTAAGAATCTTTAATTATTAAGTATAATACAAAATCGGAAAACTGCTTAAAACAAATGTACAACCTAAACAATTGTTTTATGGCAAACACCCTGTGATCACTGCTTATGTCAACAGGTAGGACCTTTCTAGCTCCACCATTTGTCATTTGTCTTGTAGAGTTTTCCAGAGTAATTTTTTCTGATTGCATTCTGTGATGTACTTTAACATTTACTTTGACCTCTATATTTCCTATAAATTAGTAGTTGCTTTCTTTGTTTTGTTTTGTTTTGTTTTGCGGTACGCGGGCCTCTAACTGTTGTGGCTTTTCCCGTTGCGGAGCACAGGCTCCGGACGCGCAGGCTCAGCGGCCATGGCTCACAGGCCTAGCCTCTTCGCGGCATGTGGGATCTTCCTGGACCGGGGCACGAACCCGTGTCCCCTGCATCGGCAGGCGTACTCTCAACCACTGCGCCACCAGTGGAGCCCGCTTTCTTTATTTTTAATTTTTTTTAAAAAAAGCTGTTCTATGTTGGAAATTTCAAACATATACAAAAATAACACAATGAGGCCCAGCTTCAGTAATTATAATTTATGGGAGGGGGGTGGGTTGAATTGGGAGATTGGGATTGACATATATACGCTACCATGTATAAAATAGATAACTAATGAGAACCTGCTGTATAGCACAGGGAACTCAATGCTCTGTGGTGACCTAAATGGGAAGGAAATCCAAAAAAGAGGGGATATATGTATACATGTAGCTGATTCACTTCGCTGTACATCAGAAACTAACACTACATTGTAAAGCAACTATACCCCAATTAAAAAAAGATTATAACTTATGGCCAATTCCAACCTTCACCCACTTCCCCTGTCTGAGAGTGTTAGTTTTATTAGATAGCTCCTTAAGGATAGGGACTTTGTATCCCTGGAGGCTTGCATAGAGCCTGACATATAGTACGTATCAATAAATGCTTGTTGAATGAGTCATATTTATTTCTTGTGCTGAGGAGACTCTGGATAAATGTGTCTTGAGGTTAGAATGCACAGAATTTCTAGGATGAAAAAGTAAATGACTTTTAGAAATGCCTTGGAAATCAGTTTCGTGCTTCCTGATAGGAATTCTGATTTAGTCATGGACTGAATTCATGCACATGTCTTTGTTTTTCTACTTAGGTGCCAGTCTCAGTGTTCCATATCCAGGGGTGACCTTCTATGAAGGTATCTCAGAGAGCAGCTTGGAGAGGCCAGAAGAGAGTGTGAGTGATGTTCTGTTTTGTTATTTAGTTTCTAACATGGAGAATAGGGACTAAGAGAGATTTATAGTCCATTGCCAGACTACACAAAACTTCAGGTGGCTCCCTTTATGGAAATGTAGATTCTAAAACCAGTACAAAAAATCTGCGATTCCTTAGAGAGCCAAGTAAATCTGCTTTTGGCAAGGAATGGCCTCAAACTGTAAATGAAATGACTAGGGGCCTGGGGAGCTGTCATCATGGCAAGCTCACTGTCTTTTGTGGGCTGTGTACATAATTTACTGTGAGGGTTTTTGCTTATGTTCTTCTGTCTCTTAATAAATCAGGACTTAGTCTTCTTCAGAGGGAAAGTATATAGATTTTATGTAGTTTAAAGAAATACCATGCTTTTTAAATACATCATTATTAATAGTAATCTGTCCACTAAACATTAAGTTGGCTTTCTATCACATTGAAAATTTTTTAAAAAGTATACACTTCCAGAAAGATAGAAACATTTTGTTAGAAATTTTGTTAGATATGCATAAATCCTAGATTACTTAATATAAGCAAACTCTGATTGAACATACTCACTAGAAAGGTACAATTTTGTTACCTTACACCTTCTCTTACCAACTTGGACATTTTAACTTCTGAGAAGTCAGGTTAAGTCACCCCACTCTGCCCCACCACTTTCCCTGTCACTGAACAAGGCTGGTGGTAGTTTGGGATCCTTGAATCAATATATTTACCCTTAGTACAACTGTGTCCAAATTAGATGGTACTAGAAAATATTGGCATTTGATAAATATTTGAATAAAAAGTTATACTGTAGTTCTGAACTTGAGGCAGAATAGTTATGATTTAGGTCTGGAAACATTTACAGAATGAGATAGAATTCACTATAATAGAAATGAAGGCATTGTGTGTAATCAATTGGAACATTCTAAAACAGAAAGGGTGATTTGAAGGCGATTTATAGAATCAGTAGGAAAACAGAATAGTACAGGGATACATGACAGGAATTAGATTGCCTGTACCTCTAGTTCAAAGTGAAGCCTAATATACAGTTTTACAGTTCAGTTTTTTCCTAATACATTTTCCAGATACCATTTTAGAAATTATATACTTTATTTCTGTTTTGTTACTATTTACCCTGTGTGTTATTATGTGTATTTAATCTAGCAAAATTTAAGTTTTTCAGAGTCTTTATCCTTATCCTGAGTAATACAGGAACATTAGAATATTAGAATGATTCAAATGATCACCCTACTATTTTATATGCTATTTTTCAGTATTTTTGTTCTTTCCCTTTAAAGTTTGTTTTACATTTACCCAGATGTTTACCACTTTATTTTCTTAAAACTCTTTTTTGCAGTTTAGACCTCTCTTCTGGTCTAATTTTCCTTCTGAAATATATACTTCTGGTATTACTTTAGTGAGAATATCTCACTGGTTCAATCTCAGTTTTTGGTCACCTGAAAATTTCTTTATTATCCTCTTATTCTAGAAAGACACTTAAAATCTGTATTAAATTCTAGATTGAGTTTTTTATTTTCAAGGTTTTATTTCACTATCTTCTAACTTTTATTGTTGCTACTAAGAGCTCAACTAACAATTTAGTTCTTATTCCCTTGTGGGTAATCTTACTATTTTTTTGTCCTACTTTTAAGATATTGCTCTCTCTCTCTGTCTATCTATATCTAATGATGAGAGATAATGACTGAGAATTTCTCAAAATTTATAATAGTAATAAAGCTTCATGTTAAGGAAGTACAACAAATCCAAAGCAAAATAAATAAACATAATCACACTGTTATCCCCATTGTTGTGAAACTGCAGAATCCCATATACTATATAGTGTACTACTGTAAGTATACTGTAGTATAGTATACTGCTACAGGCATATCTCAGAGATACTGTGCGTTCAGTTCCAGACGACCATAATAAAGTGAATATTGCAATAAAGCAAGTCACATGAACTTTTTGGTGTCCTAGTGCATATAAAAGTTATGTTTAAACTCTACTATAGTCTGTTGAGTGTACAATAGCATTATGTCTAAAAAAAACCAATGTATATACCTTAATTAAAAAATACTTTATTGCTCAAAACTGCTAACCATCGTCTGAGCCTTGAGGAAGTCTAGTAGTAACATCAAAGATCACTGATCACAGATCGCTATAACAAATATAATAATAATAAAAACATTTGAGATATTGTGAGAATTACCAAAATGTGACACAGGGACATGAAGTGAGCAAATGCTTTTGGAAAAAAGGCGCTGATGGACTTGCTTGACTCAGGATTGCCACAAACCTTCAATTTCTAAAAAATGCAGTATCTGCAAAGTACAATAAAGGGAAGCTCAATAAAATGAGGTATGCTTGTGTATATAGTATCCCCAATACTGTATCATTTAGTATTATATAGTATCCCAAATACTGTATCATATACTACTCTAACCATAACTATGATATAATAGTATATAATACAGTATTGAGGATACTGCAGTTTCACAAAAATGTATATAGAAGAAATTTTCAGCTGTTACCTCGTATGATTAGATATATGTCTGACCTCCTCATTTTATACCTTCTGTCGGTTAACCACTGTTTCATAACTTTCTTTGTCTCTCTGTGTTGCATTCAGAAATGTCTTTCAGTTCACTTATTCTTCTTTCAGCTTAGTCTAATTTGTTTTTCAAACTGTCTATTGAGTTTTTAAAATCCTTGCTTTATATAGGAGTCTTTGATCTGACTTTTCAACACTATTTATATTTATATTCTATCCCTTTGTGGTATTTAAAACTAAAGCCTAGGTCCCAAGGGATCACTAGATATACTATGTACACATAGATTACTGAATCACCTCTCTGGATTTTTCTAACCTATCTTTGGATACCTTGGGACTTTCTTTATTTTCTTACAAACCAGCTATGCATTAAAAACATTAAAATATTTATTTAGCATTTTAGGCATTCTGTAGCAGTAAGGTTACTAAGGATATTTCTTGTATAGTAATAATAGAAGTGGAAGTTTCTGTTCAAATTTAGTGAGAGAAAATTTAACATGGAAGAAGACAAAGTCTTGTACAAAATTCCTTAAGACTAAAGGTTTTTGTTAGTTTCAACATGACTCAGCAGTATGATGGGGAAAAAAGCTGAGTACTGAGGGGAAAAAAACTAGTAAAAACAAGTGTACTTTCAGGCTGCATGATAGAAATTAGAATCTACTATAAGGAAGGTGATAGTTGTACCATATTTTAATTGTACCATATTTTAATTGATCAGACCTCACTTATGTGTACCACACTCTAAGGAAGACATTAAGAGCTTGAGAAGCCTCTAGAGGAAAGGAACTAGTGAAAAATCAGGGAAGATGACAGCTGCCTATACTTATTTGAAGGGCTGTCTGGGGACTACACTTTTTATATGCATTCCAGGTTGCAGAACTGAGATCAGTGGGAATTTACAGGGAAATATATTTTGGGTTTTATTAAGAACTTTACAACCATGAGAGAGCTTTTTTGGAAATGTAATGGCCTGCCTTTGAAAGTCCTTCCAAGACTTTCTCATCAGAGCCATTTAAACGGAGGATGAATAGATATTTTGGGGAGATACTGTAGAGAGAATTCAGGCATCAGAAAGGATGGTGGAATTTTCGAGGTTCTTTCCAGTTGTGAAGTCTTGAAGGTCTGTGGTTATTTGATCCATCAGGGAAGAAAGATGATACAGTGGAAAAAGCCGGTATTCTCTTCCTGACTCTGCCACTGGCTTGCTGTTAGCCCTTAGGCCATTCTTCCATCTCAATCCCTGTTTTTCTTTAAAATGGAGGGACTTGGATTAGATGAGCACAAGTGTATCTTGCATGCAGCAGTTATTAGTGTTGGGTTCTAGTAGTGATATTCTGTTTTCCTCATTCCTTCTACATTTTGTTAATTGGGATTCTTCGGTAAGGAACTATTGCCACTTCTCTCTTGTTTATTTATTAAATTATTTATTTATATCAGTACAGACTCATGGATATTTCTTTTATTCTTTGGATTATAATCCACTATTTATTTTGTTGCTCAAATTGTTCCAGCTTTGGCTTGTGGAAGACCTGGATTTAGATGTTACAGAGTACAAAAAGTTTGTTGGTGTGGTTTCAGATTCCACGTAGAAACTAACCTTTAAAACACTTCCACTCATTGAGTTTGGCACAGTATCAGAAAAGATTATCCATGATTATCTGAAAAGGCTATTAATGTATTCCTTCCTTACCCAATACATATCTGTGTGGCTGGATTTTCTTCATGTACTTCAACTAAAACAACATATTGAATGCAGAAGCAGATATGAGAATCTAGCCATCTTCTATTAAGCCAGACCTTAAAGAATTTGTAAGAATATAAACATTACTCTTCTCACTAATTTTTTTATTTTGCAAAACATATGTTATTCATTTGTACACGTAATGAGTTTCTTATTTTGAAATGAATTAATATATATATTTAAAAGTTCTCTTTTAATTTTTTGTTTGGTGTGTATCTATAGATATAACCCACAAAAACCAAACTTCTTTGGGTTCCTTAATGAATTTTAAGAGTTTAAAGGGGTCCTAACACCAAAAAGTTTGAGAAACACCCTTCTAGACTATTTTTAGATGATAATTTCAGCTCTTTTTCTTCTTTAAAAATTTTTTCCTTTTATTTATTTACTAACAAAATGTTCTGTCCTTCCCTGAACCAGTCACTGTGTATTCAAAGGAATGTACAAATACACAGTAATTTTAATATTAGCCTATGTCTTAAAGTCCACCAGTTAGTTTCAAAGTCAAATATTATATAAATAATCATCATCAGAAGTTGCCTTTGGCCCAGTGTCTGGCATATCATGGGTGATCAATAAATACTTGTTGACTGAATGAGTGAACATTTATTGTTCTTTCTCTAAAAATCCAGATTAGCAATGAAATTGAGAATGCGATAGAAGAATCCACAAAACCAGCAGTGGAGCAGGTTGCAGAATTCAGTATCCACCTTTTGGGGGAACAATACAATGAAGAGCTACAGGATCCCTACAGCTTTCACCACCAGCGCCTTGTAGAAGAGTTTATTTCAGAGGTGGGTGATTTTCTTGTATGTTTTTATTCTTTTATTTCTTTTTGTATACAAGATAGTTCGCTGGGGTTGTAAATTTCCCATATTAACAACACTGGTTAAAGGTAGATTTCGGATTTAAGCTTTCCATCTGTTTGATTCAGGGAGTGGTGATTTAGCCATTTCTTTAGAAACTCTGTGAAAAGTTCACCGAAAGATGAACTATTTCATTGAAACAAAATTTTGTATGCGTTTGCCATCTGCTACCAAATAAATGCTATTTCCAACTTTGGCTGCACAGCCAAGGAAGAATGTGTTCTATGGCATGGTTTTAACTTGACCATATTTGGAGAAATGAGTATCTTTGAGAAACTGTATTTAGTGTGTTGTTTTTCTTGAGGGAACATTACATTTAATTTTTAAAATTTTATATTTGTTCTTTTTTTAAGTTGAAAAATTTTTAACAGTTAATAATAGGTAGTATGAGGCACCAAGTTCAAAGGACAAAAGGATATCCAGTGAAAAGTAAATTTTCCTGTTATCTCTGTTCCTTGGTTGGAAGTATTTTTAAAAAGGGGTTTCTTTAAAGAATTGTGCATTAGACCATCCCACAACCTTACTTTCTGGAAGAACTCTATATAGGGGCTTGAACTCAAGATTCTTTCAGTCAAAAATGACCCATTCTTGGCCCCCTTCTTGTGTGCCTTTGCTCTTGTATAGACTGTAAGGCACTGAGTGCCCATCTCCTCTCTCTGTCCAGTGAGAGGGCACATCATTCCTTCCTGTTTATTTCTTTTCCATCGCTCTTGATGGAATTCTCTTTGGCTAAGTTTTTCAATTCCATTACCTTGGACTAATTTCCTTCTCTTTACACTGTTTAGACGAGAAACAAAAATGTGCATCTCTCAGCCAAGCAGCATTATTGCAGCCATCAGACACAGAGAATGTAGGCCAGACGATTAATTTCCTAGCTGTGTGGCCAAGTTGTGAGGCTGTATGGTGTGTGGAAGAAATGTCATCCAGGCCAGTGGCCACCTGGCATCAGATAGTGTCTTGGATCAGCTGTTTGGTTCTCTCTGCCCTTGGATTAAGGAACCTTTAATAAGCCTCAGTGTTTGGGTAAACAATCGTGCTGAATGACTGCATATTTAGAGAAAGTCTAATAAACACTCTGAAAAAACATGTCCAGCAGGGACTTTATGAGGTATAGGTAGCTATTGGCTTGAGGTGATTTGAGGGTGATGAAGGATCCGTTCCTTCTCTGGCCTTTTTCTATATCCCCGTCCTTTTACCTGGAATAAAATGTTTACGAATAGCCACTTCTTTGTATGGAACTGCAGGGTCAGGGTCATGTCTCTGAAAGGTCCTGTCTCCATGTTTACTGCAAACTGAAGGAGGCCCTCAAGCTCTCTCCCTTCAGGACACAGTCACAGGAATTGTTCCTTCAATATTATTTCTTAGGTAATATTGCAAGACACAGGGAAAAAGAAAGCCTGCTTGGGAGGATTGAGGTTCGGGAGCTGTTAAATTTTTTTTATTATTATTTTTATTTTTTATGAGGAGAAGAGTAAGATAAACTTGGGACATCACCAAGAATGACATCAGAGAGGGAAAGGTCATTGTGATAGGCTTGGGAGTGTGGATACCTGACAACAGACACGGAATCAACACAGTGTCCTCGCATAGTGCTTTGTGTTCTGCATCCTGCTGTATGTCCATTTGCTAACAGCATCCGTGTGGGTAATCATCTCCATTTTATAGATGAAACCCAGGAGGGCAAGTAACTTGTTCATGGTCATTTCATTTCAGCTTCTAGGAGTAGAAGGGAAAATCAGGTCTCCTCCTTCCTTTGAAAGTGTTCCTTCCTTTATATCAATACAGAGTCCCCTTCATTTTAATTCAGGTGAGAAGTTGTGGTGAGCCTCACAGTTTTTTCCCAGTCCTGGTCCCAATTTTAAAACCATATTTATCAGGGGAAAGAGGATGAGGCATGTATTTCAGTAGAAAGATTGGAGATTGAACAAATTTGGATTCAGTCACTTACCAAATGCATGATCTGGACAAATTAGTTGACATCTCAGAGTCTCAGTTTTCTCAACCATATAATGGGAAAGATATGTATCTCTTGGTATTGTTGAAAGGATTAGAAGTAATGTTATATCAAAGCGCCAGGTACATAGCAGTCACTCAGTAAATTGTACCTGTTACTAATCTTGATGTTAATAAAGTGGAATGACTTTATTACAACTGGGTACCTGTACATAGCTAACTGGGTATGATTAATTAGAATACATATATGTATTTGAATCAAGAGATGGCAAAACCCCAGATGAGTTGGGTTTAGTATTGATAATAACATGCACTTGTACAGCATTTTGCAATTAATGGAGTACTTTCAGCTACATTCATTTTAACCTTACAAAAACTAATGTGGTTGGTGGGCAGGGCAGCATTAATCATATGAAAGAAGACTTGTGCCTGGCCACTCTGCCAGTAAAAACAGCTGGCACTAACCCTCAGTCTTTGGATTCCTAGTGCTGCAGATTCTATCCCCAGCCTCATCCTCCGAGAATTAATAGTACTTCTCAGTTTTCTTTCAGAGAATTAAACAAGGCAATTATTATAGCTAAAAAGTTTCACATGTTTGGATTCTTTATCTGCAAGGCATGAATATCTTCGGTGAACCAAGATTTTAAGAAAATCCCATTCTCCTGATTATATGTGGACTTGGTTTTAAAAGCAGATGCCCAGAGATGTCACTAACAACTTCTCTTGTTCTAGTGTCGGCCCCCTAGTGACTCATCTGGTGAGACTGTCACCTTCTGAAATGTTGTGGATAAAATGTTTGATTTTGTTAAATATATATTTATGCATAACTGATTTTTTTAGGTATTTGGTCCAATCTAGCATTTCCCCCCACTCTAGTCACTAAGCTTACATTGATTTATGTGGCTTGATTTTAAAAACTCAGTGATAAAACTGGTTCCTGCAGTTGTGATGCTCATAAATTGATCTTTTGACCAGTTACTGCTTTATAACCTCCTTCGTGACCAGCAGTCAACAAGGCCTAAGCCCAGGTCTGCAGATTTCTTTCTTAAGTTAGCTGTGTTCACAGTCCCTTGTGTTGTAGGAGTAGGAAACAGATGCCACCAGACATTTTACACTTCGAGGAAATGAGCACCTGACTGTGTGTTAGCGTGTGTGCTGTGGCCAGATTTCTTTCTTTTTTAACATCTTTATTGGAGTATAATTGCTTTACAATAGTGTGTTAGTTTCTGCTTTATAACAAAGTGAATCAGCTATCCATATACATATATCCCCATATCTCTTCCCTCTTGCGTCTCCCTCCCACCCTCCCTATCCCACCCCTCCAGGTGGTCACAAAGCACCAAGCTGATCTCCCTGTGCTATGCAGCTGCTTCCCACTAGCTATCGATTTTACGTTTGGTAGTGTATATATGTCCATGTGTGGCCAGACTTCTAATCCATATAATTACATTAAAAAAATGTTATTACAGTTTCTTTGAAACCAGTTCTTTTTTCACATTTCATCACATAAGGGAAAAAACAGTGCTTTGCCAATAAAAGTGTGTTTTTTATAATTTGGAAAAAATTAATATTAAAGCACATCAAAACCTTAAAAATCAAAATGAAAAAGGAAAATGTGTCAGTGATGTAAAAACTATTTTCTAACATTGTAACAATTATAATTTTCTTAACTTTCTGATCCACATATATCCATATGTGTGTACAAGCTTCTAATGGCTGTAAACAGGGCACTTTATATTTGACTCTTAAAAGCATTTTTTCTATGTACTTTTTTTACATTTCTACATAGCTATAAAGTTTATTTTTATTTTTAACAGGTGGAAAATGCATTTACTGGGCTACTGGGCTACAAGGACATTCATGTACTTGACTTTAGGTAAATAGACTTCAAAAATGCACATGTTTTGTGGAACTCTTTATTTCAAATGGAATATCGTTTTGTGTTTATTATGTATACTCTAACAATGATTCAAAATGATGTGAATACTGTAATTCAGTACTATTTTGTTAAATTCATATTCCTTTTTAAAAAATTTATTTTTTAAAATTTTATTGGGGTATAGTTGATTTATAATGTGTTAGTTCCAGGTGTACCACAAAGTGAATCAGTTATACATATACATACATCCACTCTTTTTTAGATTCTTTTCCCATATAGGCCATTACAGAGTATTGAGTAGAGTTCCCTGTGCTATACAGTAGGTCCTTATTAGTCATCTGTTTTATATATAGTAGTGTGTATATGTCAATCCTATAAATTCATGTTCCTAATGCTGGTTTTTCAGATGAAGAAACTGAGTCAGAAAAAGGCAAAATAATATATTCAAGGAGATATATTAAATTGTAGTTGGGCCAGGCTAAGAACTTAGGAATTCATGTCCCCAGCTTGCTGCTGACAAGTCACACTGCTTTTATTTGGCACTGAAGGGAGCCTGAAGTCAGATTAGATGTGACCTCAGCGTGCTCCTAATGCTCGTCAGTGCTACACTAAGGTGACTTTGACATCTCCGTGTATGGCCGCTCTGGAAGGGATGTGTTCATCAACATAACAGTTCTGGGTAAATTAGACACCTCTTTTTTTTTTTTTTGCGATACGCGGGCCTCTCACTGTTGTGGCCTCTCCCGTTGCGGAGCACAGGCTCCGGACGTGCAGGCTCAGCGGCCATGGCTCACGTGCCCAGCCGCTCCGCGGCATGTGGGATCTTCCCAGACCGGGGCACGAACCCGTGTCCCCTGCATCGGCAGGCAGACTCTCAACCACTGCGCCACCAGGAAAGCCCCAGACACCTCTTTTTAAGACATTTCTTCCCTACTTACGACCTGCAGCATAATACTTGTGAACATTTACTGAGTGAATACTTCTGGCCGCTTCACATTCCTGAGCTCACATAATCGTCAATTCTTTCAGCAAAAATATCATTATTAATACTTATTTTGCAGAGGAGCAAACAGGTTTAAAAGGATGAAGTATTAGCCCAAGGTCAGAGAGTTTTTAAGTTAGAGCATGAGAGGGATTTTGAAACAAAGTGACTGACTTTATAGCTCTCGCTCTTAACCTCTGTGCTAGACTGAGTCCTCTGAAGGTTTGGAGCGTGTGGGTGGTAGCTGTGGCCCACCTATTGGATGCAGGGGAGCATGAGCATAATTAACAGTGTATGCATCTTTGGCATAGTCTTGTCACAACTTCTGGGTTTTCCAGAAATAATAGCAAGCACTTACGAGCACAGTGTGCCAGTATTTATATTAAATCGAGCACAGTGTGCCAGTATTTATATTAATTCATTTAATCCCAACAGCCATGCTGTGAAATACTTATTGTTATCCTCCTTTTTTTCTGACAAGGAAACCAGAGCACAGGGAATTTAAGTATTTTATCTAAGGACACTCGGCTAATTATTGGTGCAGGGGCGAGGGCAAGCATGGTAAATTGACCCTCCAGCTACTCTCACACCATGACCTGTCTCCCAGTTCAGCCTTAGCCCTTTGCACAGGATACTTGCCTCCAGCTGTGACTAAAGCTCACATGAGAGCCTGAGAAGGTGAGGCTTTTGAAGTCCTCTCTCATTTGGCAGCACTTGAAAGGCAACTTGGCCTTTGGGATCAACTTGTCTAGGTTTAAATCCTGCCTTTGGCACTGCTGGCTGGATGGTTTTGGATAAATTAACAAGCCTTAACTTCTCCTTTGTATAAAAAAGATAATTTATACAATTTATATTAATCCTGCTTTATTAAAAATACTTTTAAATGCTTTGGGTAAATTACTTAGTTGTTTTGTTTCTCAGTTTCTTTACCTGTAATATGGGGATGTTCATGGTCCTTAATAAGTTTTCATGAGGATTAAATGAATTAATTTTTGTAAAATGCATAGCACATGGGAAGTTCTACTACATTAAATAAATAAATATTAAAAGCTATGCAATATCCTATAAGTTAGTCAGTCCTGACCTTTCCCAACCCCTTAGAACCTTACTATGTACCATCTGATTTTCTTTTATTCATTTTAATACCACATAACACATTGTATCCCCCCAAAAGTATTCCCAATTTTGTTAGTGCCAATAGCTGGAGTTCTCTGCTGATCTACTGAAAAAAAGTTTATTTATAAAGAGATAACCATATATTAATTGTTTAAAAGTATTTTTAACAAGTTTGAAGACAGTAAAGACTATTGACTTTAAAATAGAATATTTTCTCCACCTTTGCTATCTTCCTTCAATGTACAGGAATTTTTCATTATCTAGTATATACAAGCATTTTCATTTAAAGAAACATTTCAGAGGAAATACATTAAGAACTTGTAGTTTGATGAATTATATGACAATTATAACGCTCTTAAACTCTGCTTAACACTTTCCATTTTTGTTTTCAGATCCCCTAAGGAAAATGGCAGGTAGAGTAACTTTTGGCACTTTCTATACTGTCCACCTAATGAGGAGGTAGTTCAGAAAATATGGTAGCCCAAGGTCCAAGGGAGTGTGGCTTAATTTCTTTATTACTTCCAATATCACTGTTCATCTCCTTACAGATGAGTTGGCCAACATTTTTTTGTTAAGAGTCAGATAGTAAATATTTCAAACCTTTTCACACTATACAGCCTCTGTCGCATCTACTCACCTCTGTCACTATCAGATGAAAGTAGATGTAAGCAATATATTGAAAATGAATGAGCGTGGCTGTGTTCCAATAAAACTTATTCATGGACCCTGAAATGTCAATTTCATGTGATCTTCACGTCACAAAATATTGTTATTTTGATTTTTTTCAACTATTTAAAATATAAAATCCATTAACTCATGGACAGTGGGCTGGATTTAGCTCACAGGCTGTAGTTTACAGACTTCTGTCATAGGCTGCTGACTGACAAGTACTTTTATTTTTTAATCTATTTTTATTTAGTTTTAAATCAAAAAAATTTTTTTGAGGTATAGTTGATTTACAATTTTTTTTTTTTCTTTTTGGCGGTATGTGGGCCTCTCACTGTTGTGGCCTCTCCCGTTGCGGAGCACAGGCTCTGGATGCGCAGGCTCAGCGGCCATGGCTCACGGGCCTATCCGCTCCGTGGCAAGTGGGATCTTCCCAGACTGGGGCACGAACCCGTTTCCCCTGCATCAGCAGGCAGACTCTCAATCACTGCACCACCAGGGAAGCCCTGATTTACAATTTTATATAAGTTTCAGGTGTACAACATAGTGATTCACAATTTTTAAAGGTTATACTCCATTTATAGTTATTGTAAAATATTGGCTATATTCCCTGTGCTGTACAATATAGCCTACGACAAATACTTTAAAATATTGAGTTATACTTAATTTAAAATTGGAATAAAAACTGGCATTAATGAAAACACTTTCAAGTATACTATTGTCATTGAATAATATAATCAAGTGTCATTTTAAGTGGTAAATGAAAGGGAGAAAGCTGATCTCTATCATAGTTCATTTGCGAAAACAGCTGCTCTCTGGAACTTCTTAGAAGCATAATATAAAAACATAGTCAATTCCCCTTGTGAAGGTTGCTTGTCATTTTATCTTTGAACTCAACTTTATTTAAAATTTACTTTCTCTTGAAAGATTGATAACCATAATATAGAAAACATGAAGCAAATTCATAAGCTAAGTACAGAGATGTTTAGAGATACGGTAATATTTCTTCATTGTAATATCTTTTTAAAATATTTTTATTTTTTTATTGAAGTATAGTTGATTTACAGTATTATATTAGTTTCAGGTGTGGAACATAGTGACTCAGTATTTTTATAGATTATATTCCATTTAAAGTTATTATGAAATATTAGCTATATTCCCTGTGCTGTACGATATATCCTTGTAGCTTATTTATTTTATACATAGTAGTTTGTATTTCTTAATCCTCTACCCCTATCTTGCCCCTCCTCCCTTTCCTCGTCCCACTGGTAACTACTAGTTTGTTCTCTATATCTGTGAGTCAGTTTCTGTTTTGTTATATTCATTCGATTATTTTATTTTTCAGATTCCACATATAAATGATAACATAGAGTATCTTTCTCTGTCTGACTTATTTCACTAAATGTAATACACTCCAGGTCAATCCATGTCATTATGCCTTCATTTATATAAGATATAAATATAATATCTTATATTTGAAAAGGGCTTTCTGACTTCCTCATTTTCATTTATATTATTTTAGCAAATATTCACTAAGTGTCTGCTAATTGGGCAAACCTTGTGCCTGCAAAAATGAATAACTGTTGGTCTCCATCATCTAGGAACACAGTCTAATTAAAAGTGCTTTCAGAGATATGTCAAAGTACGGGTTCTTTTGTTTTTTCATTTTATTTTCTTATATCCCTGTAAGAGAGTGAAAATGAGAATATTCATTCTCCTTTTGGAGGTGAGGCAGTTTTGCCTTAGAGAGGCAAACTGATTTGCCGTAGCTTACGTGACTAGAGGGTATCAGATATTTTGCCCAAAATAATCAGGATTTGGGTTTCTGTACTCTTAGTATATGCAGACTGCTCTGTGTGTTTATATTATAGGTATATGTGTTGATGGTCAATATTCAACCAAAAGATTGTTTAATTGCTGCCCTCTTGGGGAGATTAGAATGTTAAAACAACCCGAATTCTGATGTTAATCCTGTGATCAAAGAATGGTATTCAGTTGCTGAGTGCTAAGTTCTCTATCGGGACACAGACAACAATTCAATATGAAACCATTAGATTTTATGATAGAATTGTTAACCTAAGTACAGTTTCTAAAATTGTTTAGTATTGTCAGATATTAACCAGTTGGTGGAGTTTATTCATAACTTTCTGGTATACTTTTATTTTGAGCTGTGTGTGAATGAATGTGTGGCACAGAAATAGTCTATTTATATAATATGTAACACCCCTCTCTCTCTCCATAAGCATTTATATACACATGAAATTTTCTATTTGCTTTGTACCTCTTTCAAGATGCACACATTATTTTAAGTTATTAGGACCCATTTGAAGTGAATAAACAAAATATCTGCCTGGTATACACACTTCAAAAATTCAGCTCCAGGCCTTGTAAGTATGCACCTTCTTCCTAATAGAAGGATGAGAGAAGAAGGGATGTCTGAGTTTCTCTGAAATATCTTTAGTTTGATCAGTTGTCACGAGATGTGGTATCATTATTTTTTCTATTTAAAACCTGCACACATCAAAAAGCCAATCAGGGCATTAGAGGTGAGGAATAAGGGTAAATTTCACCTCCACATGATTGATGTCTCTGGAAATAGCAGTCAGACAGAGAAACTTTCCTCTACATAGCAGTCGTTTCAGTTTAGAAGATGAAAGATGATGCTACTATGGTGATGGTTGGTTAACTTGGAGTTGCTGAGTGCAGAGAGCCAGCATAGCTTTCTTCAGTCAGATAATGTTTTGTCACCAGTGTGCATTCTGTGTCTTATGTACTTTCTTTTACTCTTGGCTTTTATTCTGTTCCTCATCCTGAGATGTCTCTGTATTCCATTTACCATGCCAGAACTAAGTCTGTTCTGGGTCATGCTGAAGTTCTCCGATCTGAGAATAAATGGTTTTCTGATACCTCAAGCATTACTTTGAGTTCTCTTTCCAGGACAAAAACTTGGTAATAAATTGCAGTATCTCTGTGAGGCATTTTATCTTCTTTAAAGAATTTATCCTTACTAGACAAGGTAGATGATATTAGAAGTGTTATTTTTAGAAGTCCAAGGGAAACATTGGGAGACAAATTATATTTTGCCAGTAAAGAGTAAGGCTAGTGATCTAACCCAGACTGCCTGATTTGCTCAGATTTCTTGATCCAGGAACATTTCTCTTGGTCTTCTCCCTATGCTATTTAAGTCATGCAAAGCACATGGTAGGCTCTCAGTAAAGGCTTGACTCTCCTTGTCTGATTTTCTTTGTAGCCTTGTCTGATTTTCTTTGTAGCTCAAGTGCTAACTGGCACAGCCTTTTCTTCTTCTCCATTTTTTCCCTTATCACTGCTTCCTTAGAGCCTTAGAGTCTTAGAGCCATATTAACATGTTAATAGGTTGGGCATAGATCCCAAGGAGAAGCTCACCTTTCTGGAGATGTAGGCATGGTCCATCCCACCCACAGAGCTTGGAAAGAGCATGCACATCCTCACAGAGTTGTGTTCTGGCTGTGAAGCAGTGTCCCTAAAATCATTACCCAGAAGACACAAATGTATGAGGATAATATGCATGCTCTTTAGGGTGAAAAATTACTCTTTCATATTTAGAGACTTAAAAACCCTTCAGATTAAGTCAGGAGTATCACATACTGTCATTTAAGTGGCACAAATTCAATGGTCTTATCTGCCTGCATTACTGAATAAAATTGACCGTTTGTTTTTTCATTATTTTCAAAAGTATTTAGTGAACTGCTATGAGCCAGGTATTGTGTCCTAAATGCTTGGGACACATGTGGTGTGGTAAGTTCTGACCAGTAAGTGTCCCTCATACTATTTTATTTCACATTGGGACCATCATTTGGTTATTTTAGCATGTTTTACTGAATTTATTTCTTTACAAAAGGAGATCAGGAATTACTCATGAATCAACATATTATGATATGAAAAATTAAGGGTTTGAGGGAATTTACAGATGACAAGCAGATGTCTCGCCACTTAGTAGGGCATCTGGGTGTCAAAATGCTCAATTACCACTTTAAAGCTCCCTAAACCACCCTGCTGGAAGTGGTAGCTTATCAGATCTGGGAGGAAAACCTTACTGACCTTAGAGTGGGACAGGAACATCATATCATGCCTGGCTGCTCCTGTGGCAGGTGAGGGGTAACACCTTCATGGCTTCCCCTGTAGGCCCTGGACAAGACCAGAACTGCCAGTGTTCCCAGGAAGGAGAGGTCTCTTGAGACCAATTTATGCTTACCAAACCACAAAATACAATGCTGATTGATCTATTTAAAGCAAGAAATATATCTGCCAACTGACTAGTTATTGCATTGGCTTAGCTCATGCGTTCTTTCCCCATAGGACAATCTGTAGGGAATTATAATCAAAAGTTCCTTTTGCAAGCTTGAGATCAGAGAAAGGAGGTTGGGTGATCCTAATGGCCAGTATCAAAGTCATGCTAGCCTGTTGTAGCTGTCTCCAATCTAGGGATCTGTGTTACAAGGAAGGCACAATACACTGATCAGAAACTTTTCACTAATGGTAGCATAAATTAGTTGACTAACCCTTTTTCTAGACTCTATGAGACACTTCTCATTATCCTGACACTTTTTTTTGAGATATATGAATACCTTAATTAGGCTGCAGTTTTCTCTTTATATTCAGGCAGGTATAGATTTCTGTTAATTTGATAGGCACTTAATGCCAGGTACCAAGCCAAACATTGGAGATAGAAACTCAAGGAGAGACTGCAAGGCAGTCACTATAAACAGAATCTTTTTACAAAACAGCAAAGGCTATAATCAAGGAATATATAAGTGAGCTCAGAGGAGGAAGTGCTTAATTTATTTGAGTGCTTTGCTTTGGGCATCATTTTGCTCCTATAGAATGTCTGAAGGTGGCAGATTATTTCCATTGCACATCTGCCTTCAGTGGTTTATCTTTGGGAGGGTGGTATTCTCCTTTCCTCTGGAGGGATCTTGGTGTGGCTTGCTGGGTACTGCCTCTGATGGCTGTGTCTCATAGACTGGCTGGAAGCCAGAATGATGAGTAGAGCAAAGCCATTCTCATAATGACTTTTTTCTGGTAATAGTTTAATTAAAGTTACTGAGAGTATAGCAAAGTAGTTCAGAATACAGGTACTGGAGTCAGGCAGATCCGTGTTTGAATCTTGACTCTATCTATCCCTTATATATGGTGAAATTTTAGGCAAGTCTTTTAACTTCTTTAAAGCTCGGTTTCTTAATAATAATCTGAAGGTAATAAAACCTTCATAAGGTTATTATGAATATTAAGTGAGATTAAAGCCTGTGAAATACCTGTCACATTGTAAGCACTTACAAAAGTGTTAGTTTTTAGCTGTTAGATAAATCTGAGTGTCTAGAAGGAGTAATTCTATTGGCTTAAAAATTTTATATTCTGATGTTTCCTCAAAATGACTATTTAAGAAAATATCAAATGACATATCATCTCCTACTAATTGTTTTCACTTTATCCTTTATTCCAAGAAATCTTCTCTTTTTTTGCTTGTGGAAAGATAGTGAAAAGGCCCCATTCCTAGACAAAGTTATTTCTTAGCACTTGTCAAACTTTTATTCAGCACATTAAGGAGGGAACCAGCAGAAAAATGAGAGCTAGTTTCTAGAGCATTTGAAAGAAGTATATATAGTTAATTGGGAAAGGATTGTTAAGTTAGATACAACATTGCTAAATGCCCTACAGGTTAGTAAAATCATAAACTTTGGATTTATCGTTCCTATCAGGCCAAAAAACCCATCACATTTTAGTAGGTTTTTTTTTTACAATTCACTATTAAACTTTATAGGACTGTAAATTGTCTGTGCTATAAAACAAAAGTATGTCTCCTGAGAGACTTAGATAACTGTCATATTAGAAAATATTCTAGCATGATATTTTAAAAAACATCATCAATTTGCTTTATCTCCAAATATTTCATATTTTCCTTTCACAATAGGCAACTATGTTTTAGTTCATAGTAATTAAGCTTCTTCATTGCTTCACTCCCCATTGTGGAGTACATAATTCATCCAGCAACAGTAATAAAGAGATATGAGAGGATTTCCCATTGTTGAGTAGAGTTAGAGGGTTTTGTTTTGTTTTGTTCTTTTAAATCAGGTAGGAAAAAGGCTAACAGGGAAAGAAGGAAGCAGGCTGATAGGGAAAAGGAGCAGTTGGCTTTGAAGGGGTGAGAACATGGGGGAAGAATACGCTCAGGTATTGTGCAGGGTTGACTCTGCGGCCTCCTTAGACCCCTTTCCATGTTCTTAGATCTATAACCCTCTGTTCTCTGGGAAGAAGGGGATGGCTAAAGGCTGCCCAGAGTCTTCAGAGAATGGTGATGGAGTCCATGCTTTTTGAGACTCTCCCTCTAGGTCTAATGTTTGTTCTTGGTGGGTTCAAAGCTCCTTTCTTTGTGTTTCCTTGGTGGGACCTAATCTGTTTCTCTTTTCATCCATAGTGGCATAGATGTTCACTATGCAGTTACCTTCAATGGTGATGCCATCAGCAATACCACCTGGGACCTAATTAGCCTTCACTCCAACAAGGTGGAGAACCATGGTCTTGTGGAATTGGATGATAAGCCTACTGCTGTTTATACAATTAGTAACTTCAGAGATTATATTGCTGAGACACTGCACCAGAATGTTTTGCTGGGGACCTCCTCTTTGAATCTGGATCCTGACTCCCTTCAGCTTATTGATGGTAAGTTGGATAACCATTAAGTCCTTGTACAGTTTTAGTTTCTTTTCCAATATATTCTGGGAAAACTAATTTCCAAAAATATATATGGTTCTGGCACTCTCTAGACTACATGAGACAGAAGCCATCCTGATATGAATGGCACTTTAGCCATGCAGATAATTTGGGTAGATCAATCAGGGGTTTCTGGTGGAAGAATGGCATGAGGATTAAGATATGCCATAGGCAAAATGAGGTTGTTTAGGAAACTAAATCCATAAACAACATAGTGAGGTCTTCCTTTTATGTGGAGCCTGGGGTGGAGCTACTTCCTAGAAGGTGTCCTAAAGAAGAGGTCAACAGTTCTCTCAGAATTTCCAAGCAAGTTTAACAAAAGCTTTAGGATATCCAGTACTAACTAATTCAGGTGCTTTGACCTTTCAGTAGATGTACATTTCAGTTGCTCAGAATTTTATTCCTAAAATCCATTTCTGTTTGTTTTGCCAGCTTCAGAGTTCTGAATGGCTGCAGCTTTCTAGGTGACTCAATCATCTTAAAAGATATGTTCATCTTTGATCTCATGCTACTTGTTTTCCATAGAAGACAAGATAACTGAATACACAGTTGAGAAAGAATTTTGGAAAATACTTACATTTTCCAAAAATAGGGTCTTTGACTTCTGTTTGATCCCTTTATGTCAGTGAACGGGTGAATTAAGAGAGATTCTGCTTCTGTTTTTGTGTATGCACCAGATCACCTTTCTGACAATCCTTTCTTTTTAGCTTTTATTGATTCCTTCTCTCCTCCAGGCAAAATCATTTTCTGCTTTGTCTGTGTTCACATACATTATATAAATGTCCTTCATATTGTTTTATAATATGTATTTATCTGTGACATAGGGAACAGTTCCACAAAAGAAACTTGACTTTATTAATGTTTATAGCCTCAATCTCATCAAAGTCCATGGTAACTAGCAAGGATTCAGTAAATCTTATTGAATTAAATTATACAGTCTACTCTGTTAACTTTATGGCTTAGTACTGGTATAGTGATAAACTCTCTGGTGTCTTACCCCTTTTTTCAAAGGCACTTTCTGCCGAAAAGGAAATAGTTTTGCATAATTTTCTCCATTTTTAGCATCAACTAAATGAGTTGGAATTTCAGTTCAACTTTGTTATTAAAATGAAAAAAAATCAGTTTTAAAGCAACTACTTCATAGGAATCTTGAAAAGAGTAAAAAATTGCTTGAGAAAGGAAAGAAAATAATATAGGAGTGTCCTAAATGTAATGATGGGGAGAATATTTATTTTATGTTGGAGTCTTATAATTTAGACAGGTTGTGCTAATATAAGTACAATATTTGAATAAAGTATCAAGCATTTTCTAAGCGACTCCCCATCTGTTCTACCCAAATGTAAGCTATAAAAAGGAAAAACTTGGTTTTTAGTTGTCCCTGAACCTCAAGTACAATTGTGTCTCAACTAAAAATGTTCTTTAATGTTACTCTTTCTTTAGTGAGAGGAGTTTTACTTCCCCAAAGTGAAGACCAAGTTTGGAACACCCAAAGTTCAAGTCTTGAGGAAACCTTACCATCTATTCTGGTAAGTATGTTTCTGTGTTTTACTCCTAGAACCAGGCCCTCAAGCTTTTCTTCTTTGTACACTTACCTGCTTACTTTGGTATCATGACTTTCCCAAGCTGTTCCTATTACACATATTCTCTTATATCATCCTTGGGACATTATTCATAGTTGTCAGCTCATGAGACCCAAGTATTGGTTCAGATAATTTAAGCCTTCCACAGTGGTTAAATGAAGTCCACACATTTGGCATTGCCGAAGTCCACACATGGTAGAAAGCTTATTTATGGTTCATACTTGCTTGGTGATAATTAAGCTATAAGTGCCCACTGAGTTGTTCTCTAAAAGTTACCCAGAAATAGTTTTTATAGCCAAGATTATAAATTTGGTGTGCATAGATACAGAGTATACATTTTTGTTCCAAGGATTGTATTGAAGAAAAAGTTTACACTCCAAAGCATATTGAACAGTGTGTGTATGGAAAGGAGAGAAGGCAGAGTAGAAATATTGGCTAGTTGACAGGGATGGTATACCAGGCCTGCATTTTTTTTTTCATATTTAAGTCCATTTATTTCTAATGTTATTTATCCTTACATGTGTGTTTTTTAAATTGCACTTTGAAGTTGTAGAATTTCTTTTTTTTTTTAATTGGCATATAGTTGCTTTACAATGTTGTGTTAGTTTCTGCTGTACAGCAAAGTGAATCAGCCACATGTATACGTATATCCTCTCTTCCTTGGATTTCCTTCCCATTTAGGTCACCACAGAGCAGTGAGTAGAGTTTCCTGTGCTTTACAGTCTGTTCTCATTAGTTATCTATTTTATACATAGTAGTGTATATATGTCAACCCCAATCCATCCCACCCCCACCTTCCAATCAGGCCTCCTTTTAACCTGGGCAGAAAGCATTCCCATTTGCACAGAAACGGCATGGAATGAACTTTCCTTTTTGTTCTTACCACTTAACTCCCCTGGACACTCTTCTGCCCCCTTCAAATCTCCACTTGCCATGTCATCTACAGGGAGGCATCCAGTAGAAAAGAAATGGCTTCCTCAAGTGCAGGTAAAACAACAACCACAACACCTGTAGAGACTAAGCTGTCTACAACACGACTACACGATCTTTTATTATCACATAGTCACAGAATGGAGACTCCCTTCTTCTTCATTCCCTGCTCCTTCTACCCTCTTGAGACTTCTTTTCTGTCTCATATGGCAAAGAAGAAATTAATGTTAATTAATTTCAGATACTTGTTTCCTGGCTTTAATCCAGCAATTGAAATTTAGAAAGTCTGCCCCAAATTGGCTTAACCAATATATACAGCCATTACTTCTGCTCAGGTATAGGGCAACTCAGTTTTGAAATGTGGAGTCACTGGAAATACTCTTTTTCACCAAGTTACATGTTGGATAAAAAAGGTTAGAGGGGGATTGACATCAGAGATTACATTCATTTGGTGTTTGTTTATTCATTCACTTATTAATTCAAGTATATTTATTTTGTGCTTTTCATGTGCCAAGTGCTGGGGAAACTAAGATGAATAAGGTGTGGCCTTGCCTACAAGAAGTTTCCAGTCTGGTGGTTGTAGACAGACTTCTACACAAATAAAGTAGTGCTGTCATAGGATTTCATCCAAGGTGCGGTGGCAGGGAGTGGATGATCCACTGCGAACATGGCACATTCCGCTCCTTCTAATCCCATTCTACTCAGGGCTCCTGTAACCACAGGTCTGTGATGATATCTTAGAACGATGTAAAGACAGAAATTTCTGCGTAAGTCAGGGGTTGCAAACTGGAGACCAGCTGACTGGATCCAGCTATAGGCATGTGCTTTGGGGCCAATTTTTTTTTTTAATTTTTATAAATTTATTTATTTATTTTTGGCTGCGTTGGGTCTTCGTTGCTGTGCAAAGGCTTTCTCTAGTTGCAGTGAGCGGGGGCTACTCTTTGTGGCAGTGCGTGGGCTTCTCATTGAGGTGGCTTCTCTTGTTGCGGAGCACGGGCTCTAGGCACGTGGGCTTCAGTAGTTGTGGCTCATGGGCTTCAGTAGTTGCGGCACATGGGCTCTAAAGCACAGGCTCAGTAGTTGTGGCGCACGGGCTTAGTTGCTCTGCGGCATGTGGGATCTTCCCGGACCAGGGCCCGAACCCGTGTCCCCTGCATTGGCAGGCAGATTCTTAACCACTGTGCCACCAGGGAAGCCCCCAAATTTTTTAAAAAGCCAATATTTAAAAGTAAGGAGATTTTTGCATAAAAATGCAGATTTCCAACTTCTTTTGAAAACCGGAAGATCTGATATCATTAGGTTTACATTTCCCATTGCAGAAAGTGGCTAGAGCTTGGCTGAAAGAAGCTACCCCTTTAATTATTGGCAAACACTGACTACCTGGACTCATTTGTTCATTTATGTTGCCTCTTCTGTGGTTCTATTTGCATTTAAGCCAACTCCTTAGTTTTTCAATTTGAGGAGACATTGCAATGTTAATGGGTGATTAAAAAACATGAAAGAAAAGAATGATTAATTAGAGGTATCTGATTATTGCTTCTCCTCCTCCCCCTCCTCCCCTCCTCCTCCCCGTTCCTTCCTCCCCCTTCTCCCCCTCCTCCTTTTCCTCTCCCTCCTCCCCCTTCTCTCCCTTCTCCCCCTTCTCCCACTCCTCTCTCTCTATTCTTTAATAGAAATGAGATTTTTTTTATCCAATTTTATTTTTAGAAATTATTTTAGACTTAAGAATGTTGGGATATTGAATTTGACACCTTTTGGCCTCCTGGTTTGGAAAATCACTTGTTGCACAGTGTGCTTCCTATAGCACTTAGCAAACTTTTCAGTTGGCCTTAGCAGAAGTGAAACTGGCCAATATAATATTGAACCTGTTAATATACTACATTGAACTAAAAGAAGAATTCATGAGTTGAATTTGTTACTATGGGAACATCTATTCATATAAAAATAAATAAAGTGCTATTCCTGGCATGTATGTGTTCATCTTTCAAAATATATGAGAGAGCTTCATTGCCCTGCCCTTTTTTTTTTTTACTGGGTACTTGTTTGGAATAGATGGTCTTCCTTCTTTATTTAAAAAGTCAAGTTGTGGGCTTCCCTGGTGGCGCAGTGGTTGAGAGTCCGCCTGCTGATGCAGGGGACGTGGGTTCGTGCCCCGGTCTGGGAAGATCCCACATGCCGCGGAGCGGCTGGGCCCATGAGCCATGGCCGCTGAGCTTGCGCGTCCGGAGCCTGTGCTCTGCAACGGGAGAGGCCACAGCAGTGAGAGGCCCGCGTACTGCAAAAAAAAAAAAAAGTCAAGTTGTTTACTTTCACATTTTACGTTGTTTACTTGTGGCTTAATTTTTATTAAAGATATTGTGTATTGTTTTAACTTTTATGAACTGAAAAGGAGTTTATAAGTATATCGAAATCATATATATTACTTGAGCATTTCTTTTTCATTGAGGATTCAGCTGCTTTCCTAATGTGTGTCAGATCATAGGCTCTGTCTGATAAAACTCAGTTTCTTAAGTATAGGTCGAAGAGCTTCGCCTTCTCTGTTAGAATTTCAAAAAAATGCACACTTAGAATTTACAAGGATGTAAATATGCCTTACTCAGCTGGAAGCACAGGTGGCTTTAACATATCTCTATAAGTGGTTTTAGGTAATTCAGAGGAAAACAAGTGAATTCCCTGGTATGGTATGACTCTCATCATCGTACCAACATTTTTGAGGGACAGAACTTAGTATTGAGTAAATGGCCTTCTTACTTTTCACTGAATACATATATAGTTTTAGATAATAGAAAAAAAATGAGAAAGAAAGAAACTTTTCCTCATATACAAACAGCCTCCATTTTCAACATAGATGTTTTAATATTAGAAAATGGTTTTTCCTCCTTTCTCTCTTTTGTGTTCACCTGGGTCTTTTAGATTTGTGCATATATGCTAACCTGAATGAGAATAGACTGCCAAGTCTGCTAGCTCCGGTTTCTCCTCTGGAAATCCTTTTGCCCTCTGTATGTATTCCTCAGTGAACAGTCTGGTATAGTGAGTGAAGCACGGGGACCGAACTCTAGAAACTCAGAATCTGGTTCTGACTTTTTTTTCTCTATTTTTTGTGACTGTGGACATTTCACTTCTATGAACCTCAGTTCCTTATTTTTAATAGGCAAGTTTGGACTAAATGATTCTTAAGAGTCTTTCTAGTTATAAAATTTGATAGTTTTGTTACATTCAAACATATGTGCATGCTCAGCCCCACTTCCTAACATAAGATTTTTATAAACCAAAGGATGGCCTTATAAAGCACTGAGCCTTTGGCAAAACAAAAGCTTCTATTTGTTTTACTTCTACATTCTGGACTTCAGTTGGTTGTCTTTTCATTTATCTGGAATTGAGCTGTTGCTCTCTCCATCTGGTCAATTCATTTTATTCCCCCTAGCTTTATTGAGATATAATTGACATCCAACACTGTATAAATTTAACGTGTGTAATATGATGATTTGATACACATATATTGTGAAGTACTTATCACAGTAGAGTTAGTTAACACCTCCGTAACTTCACATAATTACCTTTTTTCTTTTTTTTTGGTGGTAAGAACATTTAAGATTTACTCTTTAGACAAATTTCAAGTTTATAACACAGTACTGTTAACTATAGCCACCACATTGTACATTAGCTACCCAGAACTCATTCAGCTTATAACTGCAAGTTTGTACTTTTTAACTGACATCTCTCCATCTCCCCATCCCCAGACTCTGGAAAACACCATTCTACAGTTGTTTTTATGAGTTTGGCTTTCTCAGATTCTACATATAAGTGATATCATACAGTATTCTCCTGACTTATTTCACTTAGCATAATGCCCTCAAGGTCCATCCATGTTGTCACAAATGGCAGGATTTCTTTCTCTTTCATGGCGGAATAATATTCCATTGTATATATGTAACACATCTTCTTTATCCATTCATCTGTCAATGGACACTTAGGTTGTTTCCATATCTTAACTATTGTGACTAATGCTGCAGTGA